TTCCGTGCACGCTGTCTTGGCATCCACTATTACCAAGTCTACTAGCCACACCTTTGGCTCTCTTTTTTGCCTAGTAACTATACGCAGCTTTCTGTGAAGGTTAAAGGAGGCTATACGTGGCAGTTATATAAAGTAATGCACTATAAAGAGTAGGAGGCTAAGTAGGGTCGTATAAGCAGAAAGTGTTATGTACAAAGGAAGAAATAGATATATTGCGACCCTTCTAGGGGTCTGTATTAATACTAGTAATATACCTTGCTTTTATTCTTTCTAACTAATTACAGGCCTGTACGGCTAAGTAGGGCGGAAGGGTCTATAGTGTGGCAATGCTTGACATAATGTACATAGTGTTGATTATGTATTGGGCTATTGCGTTGTCTAGTTTCTCTAGCGTGTCTGCAAACCCTCTCTCTAGACGGTAGCGGAATCGATCAGCCGCCTTCTTTTCCTGTTTTGGTTTCATTTTCTCTATTTCGTCAAAATGTTGTGTTGTAGTTGGTAAAGGAGAAGGTGTATTGTTGGAAATTGCTCTAATTCCTTTGGACCTAAGTCTATGAACAATTCTGTAAGTCGCCGTGTCACGTGTAGTAACATAATCAACCTTTACTAAGTGCGCACAGTCTAGTCTTTAGTCAGCCACCCTACAAAATATTACTACTAGATCTTCTAAAGGCCTTAGAGCTTACTACGATACGTGCAACTGGTCCGGACGAATATCCCACAAGGATTACCGTACGGGTCTTACACTGGTGCTCGCGCAGGTTGCGCGACAGACTAGTGGTGCACGGAGTAGAAGCCACAACATCTTACTGCATTCATACAATTTGTGCTCGGGGCCTCCGTCACATCCCATGGGGAGAGACTGTACGCCGTTTAGTTAGTGCCTCGCCGCCATCCTATGGAGAGACAGCCAGTGCATGCCATGTTACGTGCGCTCTTCTCAAATTTAATTCAATTCAGGAATTCCTACTACTCGGTGCCTCTCTCCTATCCCATAGGGAGAGAAGGGCCGGTCGCAAGTCAGTGCCTCGCCGTCATCCTACAGGGAGCCAGCGCAGTAATCTTTAAGTAGGTAAAACAAAAATGCCCGGCCTAATATATTCAAGTAAGTATTGGTACGGAGTGAAAGACGACAGCAGTAATCCTAGGACTACTTATTAGAAACAAACACAGATAGTACTGCTGCATAGGCAGCTGCCGCAACCATCATCTCGTAGTTCGACACGTTTAGTATCGTGCCGACAATCAAGGAAAATAGTAGGATGCATATAGCGACTGTTGTAAGTTGAGTCCCTTTGATCGTAGATAGAATCGCGAGTGGTACTACTAGAAATAGTATTGTGATGATAGCTGCAACGAATCGACTAGCAATGCGCGCAATAAGGACCGTGTTCTGGTGGGATTGGTTGTGCGGTCGACTCCGCGCCTCTGCGTTATTGTCCACCATCCTAGACATGCTCTAGAATCGAAGTTTGCGCAGCTGTTGGTGTATCCAGCGCTGGAAGGGATCGGTTCGAGACCTGGCTCCGAGATCAACGCGAAGAAGCCGCGTTTCCATTATTTCAGCCAAGGTCAGTTCAGTCCGCATGCTGCTTTGCTGTCCGTCATCTATAAGAGACATAGTCTCCATGTTTATAATAGTATTCAAGGAAATAAGTGCGTCGTCTATAATAGGCATTAGTAGACAAATAGCTGCAATACAGCATGCACTAACCGTAGTCCTTAAGCAAGTTGCGTAGCCGAGTTACTAGGGCATCTGTTATAGTCTCGCCTACAGCCGGGACGTCGGCATCTTTCTTGCTATGTCTTAATCCAAGTCGATCGATAGAGGATAACGGCACGCCTAAATTAAAGCCTGCCTGGTAGATAATATGATCTAATGAAGCAATCTTAAGAAACCGAAGATTAACAAGATGTGTCGTTTTAAAGCGACGAAAACCGTGGAGAGTAAGATTTCTATTAGCAGTAGCAACTGGCCAAATTTTGCGGAATCGCTCTGCGTTGGAGGTATCGGGAAGGTGTATTATGCTTTAAACGTGGATGCTAATAGCATATCTTATAGTTGTAACGGCCGGTTAAAAGCAGCCGTGATACTGCCACTAGCACGCTAATCTTAGGTGTAAAGTTGCTGTAGTACTCCCAACCACCATCCTCTTGCACGCTTAGCACCGTAATAAAGCTGACTATTACGCTGTCGTACTCTGTCGTCCGCATAACGTGGTCTAGCATGGCTATACAAAGCCTTGTTACCGCCTCTTCCACTTTCTCTTCTTGCGCACGCACCTCTTCCGCTGTCTCGTATAAACCGTCTTGTCTTGCATCTATCAACGTTTCTGCGTCGTATATTGCCCGCTCGCATGCCTTTTCTTGCACTGCCGTTAGCCGAAATCCTGGCCGCTCCGACTTTCTTTGTCCTCGTTGTTACTAGTAACTTATATAAGCAGAAAGTAAAAGCTAGTTAAAAGGGACCTAGTAAGATATAAAGAAAGAAAAAGAGCTACTTAAGAAGGAACTCGTCCTATGCTGTCCGGTGCGTCCAGTCTCGTGCACTCTCCCCCCTTTCCCATTGCTTGCGCGGTGCAGTCGTGTGTTGTGTGCACTCGTCCTAATCTATACATGCAGACTTTATTCATACATGGCCGACATCTTCCTCCCGTTCCCGTCCCTGCCCTACATCGCAGCCGCGTCGTCCTCCTGGCTGTCCTCGATCACCGTCGCCTTGCTGCGCTTGGTACGCCGCTTCCGTCCACCCTTTGCTCCCCTAGCCGGCGACGGGATCTCGTCCGGGCTTTGCGAAGGCCGGCGCTTCTGGGCGCGTGTGGGCTCTTGACCCCGCTCCCCCTCTGCGCCGCCATCTTCGTCACCGTCGTCGCCGTCGTCTTCGTCGTCGTCATCCTCTGTCTCCGGCTCGCTCTCGCTCTCGCTCTCGTTCTCGCTCGGGCTCGGCTCCAAGGTCTGTTGGCGCATTGCTTCGGCTAGTTCGCCGACTCCTCCCTCGTCTTGCGCCGCCAGCAGCGCGCCCACTATCGCCTCGACCGTCGCATCCTCTGCCTCCAGTTCGGTCGCCAGAGCCAGCAGCGCGCTCGGCCGTGTGTTGACCAGCTCCGCCAGCCCGGGTCCATTGTCTGCGTCCAGAAGACCGAGTGCGACGCGCGACAGCATCGCTCCAAGTCGGCCCATCTTCTCGTCCTCGTAGTCGGCCGCCGTGTGCGGCACGTCCAGCCGCCAGGCGTAGCGGTTAAAGGGCGCGCCCCAGTGCAGGCGCATCACCTCGTACACCACCACTTCGGCGCTCGTGTCGCTCAGGTGCTCCGGCAGGGTCAGCGCAGCCAGGAGCTGCTTGGCCCACTTCTCGTACAGCCGCTCTTCTTGCAGGCAGGAGTACGAGGCGTCCTGCTTCAGGATCGACCACGTCACATTGCTGTTCTGCCCGATGCGCACTAGTCGGCCCAGGCACTGCTCAAAGGTATTGAACGAGTAGCTGAACTGTGCCAGCACTCCGCGGCTGCAGCATTTTTGCAAGTTTAGCCCGAACGACGACAAGTTCATGCTCGTCACGTAGGCGCTGACTTCGGCTGTCGGGTCGTTGAAGCGGCCGACCGCCAGGCGCCGCTCGGTCGGTTTGTGCGATGCCCGCACCGACTCCACGTCCAGGCCCAGTTCTGTCAGGGTCTGCGCGATGACCTCCTGTGCCCAGATCTGGTCCACCATAATAAGGATGCGCTCCTTGGCCTGCACGGCCTCGATGGCCAGCTGCACCACCTTGGCCAGCACAGGCGAGAAGCGCATCGCAAAGGTCGCCATCTCCGCCCGCCCCGTTGGCATCATCATCGCCGCCGCCCCGGTGTTGGTCTCGTACATGATGGTCGAGAGCGCGCCGGCCGGTCCTGCCTGCCGGAGCTCCTCCATGTCCGGCACGCCCAGGATGGCCTTGTTGCCGCGGCGGTTTTGCACCATGTACGCGGCGCAGGCGTTGAACGCCACCAGTGCGGCTGCCCGTCTGTCCAGGATGGCGGTCGGCTTCTTGGCTGTGGCCTCGCCGTCCGCGCGGCGCCGGCGGCTGCGTCGGAATCGTGTGCGTGCCAGCAGGTTGTCCGTCAGCTTCTGCACCATGTCGGTGAGCTCGTTGTGGTGCTGCAGCACGTGCGTCCGGATGGCAAAGGCCGGCAGGTCGTCGCCAGGCGTTGTCGTGCTCCCGTCTGGCAGGATCAGAGGCGTATGCATGCTGCGCCGCAGCTGGATTAGACGCAGGGCCTTGTGTACCGCTGTCGTCAAAAACTCCGTGCTCCAGGCCATATTCTGGCCCCGCGTCATCAGCACCTGCGACTGGGCCTGCCAGTACCGCTTCCCGTCTGCCCGCCATGCATCGATCACCTCGGTCATGCCGGGGAATTTGGCGATGAGACCCGGCCCGGCCAGGAAGCCCAAGTGTTCGAGCTCCTCGGTCTCTGGGTTGAAGTCGTCCTCGTATAGCCGCTTGGCCGCGTTGCCGATGGATGGCACTTGAAAGCCAATCTTGGCGTGCTCGGTCAGGATGGTCAGCGCACCCCGGATGTCTTGGATGATGTTGAGGAAGGGAGTCGCAGACGCGAGGATTTTGCCCTCTGCCTGCAGCAGACGGGCCAGCCAGCCATAGGTCGAGAGCGGGCGCCGCACGTACTGGCACTCGTCAAAAATAATGGTGCCAAAGGCCACTTTGCTGAGTGGCTCGCGCAGCTTTCCCTTTTCGTACCATACCTTCTCCTCCGTCTCGTCCTCCTCTGCCTCTCCATTGGCGTTGGCGTCGGCATTGTCGTCGGCATTATCGTTGGCATTGTCGTTGGCGCCGGAATTGGCGTTAGCCGCTTGCTCCGCCTCTGCCTCCACTTCCTCACCGTTGTTGTTGCCCGCCGCCGCCGCCACAGCATCCTCCTTCTGCTCTTGGTAAAGCTCGAGCATGCGGCGCGTCGCCGTGGTGTAGCTGGTCAGGAGCAGTCGCCGGCCATTGCTTGGGCGCAGCAGTGCCGACTCTTTCGTGACATCGTCGCACCACCGTTGGAACTGGTGGGGCCGAAAGGTGGCGTCGCGCAGCCGCTTTTCCGACTGGTCCTTGATCGCTTCGGGGTAGGAGTAGTAGACGCCCACTTGGAACGAGTCGCCCGTGACGGTGTGGATCTCGTTAAACACCTGCGCAATCGTCGCCGCCGGCACCACGAGCATCGCAGGCTTGAACACCACCGGCGTGCCGGTAGCGTGCACCCGTTCCTTCTCGAGCTGCTGCATGACCAGGGCGAGCAGGTATGTCGCCGTCTTGCCCGTGCCTGTCTCGTTCGCCAGCAGTCCGCCATGGATTGGTGTCTTGCAGAGCTGGACTAGTGTGCCGGCGTCGACCACTTGGTGGGGTTTGAAAACGAAGCTGGAGTTCTGGCCGGCCACCTTTAGCCGCTCTGGTTGGGCCGGGTCGAAGGGTGGCATCTCGGCCATGGCGAGTGCGTCTGTTAGCGAGCATGCCTCGGCCGACTCGCTCTCGTTCAGCACCCGCGGCCACCTAACCACGTGCTCCGTTGTGTTACAGGCGCCACGTCATCTCCGCATGTATCGTTTGTATAAATATCTCCTGCTCCTCCCTCTCTCTTCCTACTTTTTTTTCCTTTCTAAATATTCTTCGTGACAACATCCAGGGTATCGCCGTGGCGGTGTCAGCGTATTTCTGCTCTGATTTACGAGGAGACATTCCTGATGCCGTCACATACACTGAGCATGCCAAACGGAAGACAGTTATGTCTCTTGACGTTGTTTGCGCATTAAGCGGCAGGGCCGCACCCTTTCGGTGTTTGATTATTTATTCAATCCACGCAACATCCGACGAAAAGACCGGATTTTTTGATCTTTCCTCAAACTGAAGGAAAGATGAAATGCCTTGTGGAAAGATTAAAGTGCATTCCATCGCGCATGTCTCATTTTTACTGGCTTGAAGGCAGCTCGGTGCCTCCTTCCCATCCCATGGGGAGAGACTGCACAGGGCCATGTCACGTGGAAACTACATAATTAATTCACGCTCGGTGCCTCCTTCCCATCCCATGGGGAGAGACCAAGGCCATGTCACGTGGCGATTACATAATTAATTCATGCTCGGTGCCCCCTTCCCATCCCATGGGGAGAGACTGCGCAGTGCCATGTCACGTGGCGATTACATCAGCACCTCCCAGTCAGTGCCTCCTTCGCATCCCATGGGGAGAGAAGGGCCGGTCGTAAGTCAGTGCCTCGCTCCCATCCCATGGGGAGCCAGCGCCTGCTTACAGGCCCACATTAAAATATTTCAGTAGCCAATTAAAGCAAAGCTTTCAAACGTGACATGGCCCACCTGCACCTAATTAGCCAATTACAGCAACGCTTTAATCAATGAGAATTTTTTTTAGGCCTACCTGCACCTAACCAGCCAATTAGAGCAACGCTTTGATCGATAAGAATTCTTTACTTTAACCAACAGCCGTTATTAATTTATAACGACGTAACAAAACTAGATATAAAAAAACGTTAAAAGTTGTAGAATCCTTGATTTTAGCTAGAGTTTATGTATATATAAAAACTGCTTTTTTTTCTTGAAAAGTAGCTAACCCTAGCTGACTTTTTACCGGAGATTAATTTATAACAACGTAACAAAACTAGATATAAAAAGCGTTAAAAGTTGTAGAATCCTTGATTTTAGCTAGAGTTTATGTATATATAAAAACTGCTTTTTTTTCTTAAAAAGTAGTTAATCCTAGCTAACTTTTTACCGGAGACTAACTAGTTACTACTAACTAGTTACTAACTAGTTAAGTAAGTTTAATATACGCAAGCTATTAGATTAATAAGACCCGGCTAAATCTAAAAGCTACGCTAAAGATAACGCCCTTAATAGCTTTTTTCTCTTAATAAAAAGTTACCTTTACTAGCTTTTTAGCTTAAGAGAGAGAGACTTTAATCTACTTAGCTACTACTATTAATTACGTAACTAGTTAGCTAAAGGTATAGCTATATACTTTATTCTTTATAGTAAAAGCATTAACCTTACTAAAGATAATAATCTAGCGCTATAAAGCCTTAAAAGAAATTATAGTAATAAGCCTATAGCTAATTATAAATAATAGCATTACTTTCTTAAAGACTAAAGTATATAGTGCTTACTATAAGTAGTTAAGTGTTGCTCTTCTACTAATAGACCTTTACTAGCTGTAAAGTAATAGGCGTATTAAACGCTTTTACTAGTCCTTTAAAAGCATACTATACTCGTTAATACAGACTTACCTTAGCGTTATAATCTTAAATCTAATTAGCATAGCAATACTAATATATTACTACCGTCTTATAAAGCATAGCTATAGCCTATACTTCTTAACCTTTAGCTACTAGCCTTTCATATACGTAACGTACGCGTAGTATATATAAAAGCTAACTTAAGTAAAAAAGGCAAATGCTATTAAATAGTAGGCTTATAATTTAATATACCTTAGTAGTATTTAAGACTAACTAGCTTTAATAGAGCACGTTTAAATAGCTATATAAAGCCTTTTATAAGCTAATAAAGCTACCTTTTATTACTTTAGTATTAAAGACTAGGTACTTTAAGCCTAGCCTTAAAGACATAAGCATAAGCCTTTTTATAAAAGGCTGCTTTAAGTAACTTGAGTACTCTTAAATAGCCGCCTTAAGCTTTATACTCTTAATAGTATAAGGCTCTTAAATCTAAGAATCTTAAAAACGTCTTCTTAGCGTACGTCTAAGATTATAAGCCTATCTTAAGCCTTTAGTACAGCTTAAAAATAATGCTAAAAGCTAATTAAAAACGCTAAAGTTAAAAAGCTAGCCTATAAGTAAGCAAGTTTAATTTAAACTTTTTTTACCCCTTTTATTATTACTTCCTTACCTTTTAACTAAACATAAAAGTAACTTAGTTAGTACGTTAAATTGTTAGCAAACCGCACTGTTTAAGAAGTACTATATTTATATATAAAATAAAGAAATCAAGGACAAAGTTGTCTAAGAAGAAAGCGTGTAGATTTCCTAAGGTTACCTAACCTTAGCCGCCGAAATTACTAGATAAGACAAAGCCCTAATCTAAGCGCACACAACGCACAGTCTAGAGCTTTAGTCAACCACCCTACGAAATATTATCACTAGATCTTCTACAGGCCTTAAAGCTTACTACGATACGTGCAACTGGTCCGGACGAATATCCCACTAGGATTAACGTACGGGTCTTACACTGGTACCGCGCATACGAAGTGTGCGCGACAGGCTAGTGGTGCACGGAGTAGAAGCCACAGTATAAAGACCCGATTTAGCAAAGTGGCGGGGTAAAATTGAGTGGGCCTTGAAAGTGGATTGTTAGGCTACACCCATTTTTTGAAAAGTTTGCGAGAGCAGCGTTTCTTCGCTCATCTTTAGGATTAAGGTCTCTGATAAAGACCTATTTGTTCTTGGCCAACACTCTCGCCATGCCCCCTAAGAAGGTTGAAGCTGTCAAGGACAATGTTGTCGCCTTTGGAAGAGTTCGCAAGAACCTAAAGATGGGATGCGTTGGTCTGCCTAACGTGGGAAAGTCGAGCCTGTTCAATCTCTTGACTGAGCAAAGCGCCGCAGCAGAAAACTATCCTTTTTGCACGATAGAGCCTAACGAGGCGAGATGCGCTGTTCCTGACGCTCGATATGTAAGTTGATATACTCTACAAAAGACTTTTTGATTGAATGCTAAAATAAAAATACATGTAGGATTTTCTCTGCGACCTTTGGAAGCCACCGTCTATGTACCCACCAACTTTGCAGGTAACCGACATCGCCGGCTTGATCAAGGGGGCTTCACAAGGCGAGGGGCTTGGAAACTCGTTTCTATCTCATATCCAAGCCGTTGACGGCATGTTCCACATTGTCAGGTACAGCATCCATGGCCTACATGCTACGTCCTTGTACTAACTTAGACACTATAATAGAGCGTTCGATAACGATGAAGTTTTACATGTCGATGACTCAATCAATCCCGTCCGCGACTTGGGTTAGTTTATGTGAGCATCCTTAGCTAATAAATCTAGACTAATGTATCTCAGATACTATTCAAAGCGAGCTTTGCAAGAAAGATCTAGGTTTGTTTTCTCCATCGAACAGATCTGAAGCTAGCTAACCCTCGTTTTAGACATTCTGCAAAAGGCAATTATCGCCGAGGAAGCAATCGTCAAAAAAGCGGGTGGAAAATACAAGATGTTACCTCTTTTTACAGAGACTACAACGAAAGTCAAAGCAGTAAGCTAAGAACTCTAGTTTTAAAGGTCTAAGTTGTTTCTATCGTACCTTGCTTACAATAATAATATAGATGCTAGAGAATGACCAGCCAGTCAGAGATGGAAGTTGGACACCGGCTGAGATTGCTCTCATCAACGAGAAGATACAACTAATCACCACCAAGCCCACCATCTACCTTGTCAACCTTACAATGAAAGATTACCTTAGACAAAAGAGCAAGTACCTGCCGTCTATATCTAAGTGGGTCACCGAGCACGGAGGCGTTCCCCGAGACATTGTCCCCTTCTCTATCGAATTTGAAGAGAAGCTTTACAAAACAAAGGACGACCCGGCTGCACAGGCTGAATTTCTGAAGGAGAGCAAGGTTAAGTCTAAGTTGGACAAGATCATTACAGAGGGATTTACTAAACTCGGCCTACAATACTATTTCACTGGTATGCTAAATTTTTACCACCCTTGGGTAGATCATCTGCTTACTTGTACACAGCCGGTGAGAAGGAGGTTAGATGTTGGACAATTCCTAAGGGATACCTAGCACCGCAAGCTGCGGGAGTCATTCACAGCGATTTTGAGAGGGGATTTATCAAGGCTGAGGTGGTCGCCTACCAAGATTTCCACGATCTCTGTGAGGGCGGCAAGTCCATGGCTCCTATCAAGGCTGCTGGGAAATACCGGCAAGAAGGAAAGTCTTACGTAAGTACTTGAACCCCTTCTGTATGCTGCAGCAGCTGACATTATTTTGGCCTAGGTTGTCCAAGACGGAGACATTATCCATTTTCAATTCAGTACGTTAGAAGTCGTCTCCAATACTACCCTATTACCTTTATTATTGTGCGAAAGTGCTAACTTGTATCTTAAGATGTTTCAAATAAAAAATAGACGTGTCATGTCTAATCGGGGAGCCGCTGCGCTTTTATACTCTAGGGCATCTTTACGTCATTTACCACTATATACGCATTTAAGGTAGAGACTTTACTTAAAGATAATTACTTTAGACAAAGTCGAAAAATACAGTAGCTTTGCTAGCCTAACAGTCACTGTCAAGTTTTAGAGCGCTGCCACGATTACTCTCTTTGTCGCGCATAGTGAGACATTAGCTGATGTTAATAACATCTCTGTTGTGCTTACCGGGGCAGTTTTAAAAGGCTGTAAAAATTTTACAAAAGCGACGCAAATATAAAGCTTTTGCATCTTAAAAGTTTTATTTCTTCGGTATAGAGGCACAGCTTATACTTATTCTACTCATTCTACTCGTTCTACTAATAATAGCATTCTTCTCAATATCTAGCATCTGCATTAGTCTCGGCTATCTCCTCTATATATTGAAACCTATTGTATACACAGTAACAGTTATAATATTCTCCGCATATCAACAGTCTCGTCGTAGGAAATTTTCGAAATAAACGTGTTGTGGTAGTAGTGCCGAAACAGGAATCGCTCGTCCTCGCAGCTAAAGAAAAAAAAAATACAAGCTCTCCTTTCGCTTTTAATTCCTGTTCTAATTTATCTACTTGTACACAGTAACAACGTCGATGCACCAGTTTCAAACCTGTTTGAAGTCGCGGCCTGTCTACCCTTGTAAATGACGTGGTTTCGCCCCAAGGCTACGTTCTCGCTCCAGCTATAGCAACGCTAGCCATACCCTATACTCTTACTTAAGCCATCCCGCCAAGAAGTATGGCATCCGCCGGACTGTGCTGTCCATGAGAAACCTTGAAGACGTCGTACTTCTCGTCGTGCCACTGACTAGCCGTTACCCAACGTCCCTGGCTGTCGAGGAACTTGGCATCGTTCTCGGGCCGGAGGAAATAGGCGATGCTGTACCGATCATCGGCAGTATTAAAGGGGACAACCCGGTGGACACACGAATAAAGCATATGTTCAGATGCAAACCGAAGCGAATCCCCTACGTTGATAACTGCATGCCCCGGCCGTGGCTCGACAAAGGCCCAGGTGGAAGACTGAGGAGGAAGCACTTGCAGCCCCCACTGCTCCGAGAACAACAGGGTAAGAGATCCAATGTCGGTGTGCTTCTGATGGCCGATCTCTTTGCTTGTCGTTAAGCTGCCAGGGATGTAACGGAACATAGCTAGTGAGCTGTTGGATTTGTGCTCGTTGCGGTGGCTGTATTCGAGACGGGCTGCCCCCGTTAAGCCGAGTGCTGTAGACAGGCAGGAGAGAATAGTCTTGGTTATAATGTTGGATCCGGCGATGAAGCTGAGTAGAGTTTCAATATCGCCCTTATTATTAACAATAAATGGCAGGTTGGGGCTTGTCTTAGAGATCTCGTCCCGCGACACTTTAAAAATCTCGTAGCCGTCCTTTGTGCTATCCAGCAACCCGGCATGGTTCCCGATAGGTTCGTAGCTAAACAAATAGGTCGAGTTAAATCCAAGTTTTTACCCAGCAGTCCAAGCTATAAGGACAAACAGAAGAAACGTACCCATGCTCCTGCGAAGGGAGGCCAATCTCATTCTTGTCCTTGTGTGGGGCGTTAAAGAAACGAAGCATGAGAACAAGTAGCCGCTGCAAATTAACTAGCATCCCCCGACCATCGATATCGCGCAGGTCAAGATAGAAAAAGCCCGCTACCTGGCAGCAAGCTAGTAGCATCTGGACCTCGGAGGGTTCCTGTGATAGGAGGCGCCCAAAGTTGATCGTTTCTAAGTCGCAGATAGGAACTTGTTTCCCTTCATGCTCTATGGTATGTTGCAATTTAGTAGCCATTGCTGTGGTTTGGAATAGACAAGCTATAATGTTTAGTAGCTGGTTGCTAGAAAGAGATTACCCGCTACTTGAAAGGCAAAACTCGGTTCTTTTATTACATTGTTTAAGCCGATTGTCTTCCGTCCTAACTCAAAATACCTATAGTAGGATCTAGGATCGACCACGTTGTTAAAGACATGTGCTTAATCAAGGCTGTAAACGAAGCCGAGGCTCGGAGTAGATAGGTGGTGCAGCGTCATCGCAAATCGTACAAGTAGGACGTATGTGGTACTTCCGGCGGCTCTAGGGCCAGGCGGGGTGAGGGGTAGAATATTTCCAACAAGTCAATACAAGTCCATCATAGATCTACGTACCTTCCTGATCTCGTTACTACTCGTATAAGCCAACTTCGGCTAACCTGTATATTACGTCACCAAGACAATTATAGACCTAGTTACCTTCCCATTTTTTTTGTCAAATTCGTCAGTTCTTCGTAAACATAACCCGAAGCCTTTAATCCCGTGGATTATGCCACATCTACCCCTCTTTTATATGGCGTACTTAGTCAGTAACGAAAGTCAAGGTATAGATAGGCTTTAAACCCTATTTCTACAGTAAGACCATTTCGTTTTTTAGAGAGAGCCAATGTGAAAACATAATCGAAAACTATGGCTCCAGATTATCCCCTTCCGGATGAGCCAACGAGTCTTATTGTAGACTTTAGCAGCCCGGCCGATGATTACAATCCGATAAATTGGCCGACTTTTAAGAAGAGCTATACCAGCCTTCTTTACAGCCTTACTAGCCTAGGCTCTGTCTGGGCAAGCACAGCGTAAGCTGTGTGCACGGGACTGCGACAGACAGACAAATAGAGTAGACAGAAGTGCCTCTAACAGTTGTGCGTGGATGTGATAGATACGCGCCCTCAAACGCTAAGATAGCCGACGAGTTCGGCGTGTCCTCCGAGGTTGCTCTCTTAGGCACCAGCCTCTTGCTTCTTGGGTCCGTTAAGACTTCTTGCCCTCCCTAGTCAAGTTAGCGCGGCTACGCTAACTTTAGTTTTCTGCTTTGTTCTCTAGATGGGGATTTGGGCCGTTATTCTGGGCACCTCTTTCTGAGGTATATGGACGGAAATGGCCGGTGCTACTTCCGTTTGCCGTCTCTACAATCATGTCCATCGGTACAGCCACGGCAAAAGACATCCAGACGGTCCTTATCACCCGTTTTTTTACTGGTTTCTTCGGGTCTGCCCCAATTACTTGCACTGGTGGCGTCTTTGTGGATTTGTGGAAGCCATCGCAGAGGGGCAATGCCATAGTTGGTTACACCCTTTGCGTCTGCGGTGGTCCGGTACGTCCCCTATCTTAGCTACCAAGATCGTTAAGTTTAAATATTTTAAAGATAATGTACAAGAATACGCAACTAATAAAGACAGTCTTTAGGTCCGGTGGTTGGCGGCGCTATAATCTACCGTGATATAAGCTGGAGGTGGACTGAATATGTAAATCTCTGCCAAGAGGTTATAAGCGTATAAGAACCTAAGGCTGACACGTACTTAGATTACCGCTTTTATCCAGGCCGTCGTCCTCGTCCTAGACGTTATTTTTATCGACGAGTCGTACGCACCCGTCCTGCTAATCGACAAGGCCCGCATGCTCCGTAAGACGACGGGCGAGTGGGCGCTGCATGCCAAGTGGGAGGAGAAGGAGGTGCGAGTGGTCGACCTGGCCGTTAAGTTTGGGCTGCGGCCGTTGCAGATGCTGGCCACGCCTATCTGCCTAGCCGTAACGGTATACTCGTCGTTCATCTATGCCGTTTTTTACGCCAGCCTCGCGTCGTTCCCTATTATTTTCCAGCAGACGCGCGGCTGGGACGACCTGGTTGGGTCGCTGCCCTTTTTGGCCGTGCTAACAGGAATCCTAGCCGGCGCTGTTGTGAGCTGGCATAACCAGCGCCACTACAACTGGGCTCTAGCGGCGAATAGCTATATGCCCGTGCCTGAGGCGAGGCTTCCGCCTATGAAGATCGCCTCGGTCGTGCTCGCTGGTGGACTCTTCATTATAGGCTGGACTTCTGCGCCCGAGCTGCCTTGGATCGCTACCGTTATCGGCGTTGCTATGATGGGTTTTGGCTACTATACTATCTTTACCAGCGCGATTAACTACCTTGTTGACACCTTTCACCGTTGGGGGGCTAGTGCCTTAGCCGCTAATACCTTCTCCCGAAGCGTGCTCGCCGCCATCTTACCGCTGCTTGTGCGGCCTTGGTATAACCGCTTAGGAAACGGCTGGGCCTTTACCGTCCTTGGCGTCTTTGCTATTCTTAACATCCCGATACCATTTCTCTTCTCTGCTTACGGGCGCCAGATACGGGCAAGGGGAAAATATACAGCTAATATACAGGAATAAAACTTGTTTCTTGTTTGTACGTTATTTAAATATTAGCAGGGTTGGGAGACTAGTACACTAGTACTTAAAAAGTAGTACTAGTAGTAGTGTATTAGTATTACTAGTAGTATTAATAGCTTTTAGCCTATAAAAAAGTTAACAAAGTATTAATGTAGTAAGCAATAGTAATATAAAGAAATAATAAGTAAGTAAGTAAGGATAACTAACTAACTAACTAATAAGTCTGTAATTACTAAAGCTATTTTCCTTATAAGAATCATACTTTAATAAGCCTTAAAGCTTATAAGTAGTATAACGTGTATAAAGTAAAAGATTATAAAGTAAAGTAAAAAAAGAGATAAAAATATTATATAACTTATTAGTAAATAAAAGAATAATAATAAAGAAAACGTAAAGTAAAGAAATAAAGTCTAGTATTTATATATTTTATATTATAATAAAGCTTCTTTATTACTTACTATAAAAGCTTCTAAAATACTTACTTATTAATTATTACTATAGTACCTTAATACTTAAGTACTATTATTACTAGTACTAGTTATACTAAAGTAGTATAAATACTACCAGTAGTATTACTAGTATGTTTTCCTAACCTTAACTATAGTAAAACGCTAATTTTAATTATCTAGACTTTTATTTTTAAATAAGTATAAGGGTATCCTATACACGCGTTCCTACGCACTAGTTTAGCAACTAGTCGCTTACTAAGCGTTAAACTTAACAAACTATCTTAACACGTTACACAAAGACTAATACAACCACTTTGCTATGCTATGCCTTACTAAGGTTACGCTACACTGCATCTTTTAGTTACGTATAAATTAGCTAGAAAGCCTTTACCTACTAGTCTTTTATAGTTTATTAAGTTAAAGTATTATTATAATAGTATAAAATAGTTTTAAGCCTTTATAACTATATATTATATATAAACCCTTAAATTCTTTAACTTTTATTTTATAGGAAGTAATGTTTAATTATAAGGCAGCTACTTTTATAATCTATATATAAACTATTAGAAGTAAAGAATATGCTAATACTACTTTTTACATTAATATATAGTAGCTATACCTTACGCGTAGCATTTATAGGCACTTTAACCTTATTTATTATATTAGATATAAGACTAGTATATATACTACTTAATTATACTTTACTAGCTAAGAGGTATTTATAAAGTAATAAATATATTTATATTATATACACGTTAAAGGTACTAATTAATATTATAGCTATAAAGGCTATAAGGCTACTGTTTAGTAATTGCTACTAAAATAATAAGCGATTATAATATAGTATTAAAAAGCTAAAAATTAGTACTATTACTACTAGGATAAAAAGTAGTTAGTAATAATAAAAAGACGCTTATAATACTAATATATATAGTAATGTATTAAAAGATATAAAGATATCTAAGTAAGTACTTAGCTAACTACTAAACTAGCAGCTAATTGTAAAAAGCACTATAACTGCCTTTATAATAATAAGCCTTTAGTTATACGCCTTATATAGATATACTTTATTATATTTATTTATTAAAAACTGTTACAACTAATGCTTATAGCAAGGGTAGTAGTATACTATATAGGGTCTAAATAGTATAGCTAATAAAGTGCGTAATATATCTAGCTAAAAAGAAGTATATAGCGTGCCTTTACTAGTGCAAAGATTTTACTAGGGCTAGTCCTTACTTTTATTTATCTAACTAATAAAAGGCTTGCTTTGCTAATATTAGTTAGAACAATTATAGTACGCTTTATTTTAAAGCTTTATACTCCCCTTAAATAGCGCACATATTATAGACTATTTATCCTTCTAGTCTAAGATTACTAAATAAAGCTAAAGACTTTCTCTGCTTATGCAGAAACTAGAAATATAAAGCTTTAAATATCCTCTAAAAAGCGTTTTACTTAAGGCTTCTAGCTTATTAGATAGGGCAGCAAACGTTTAAACGTTGCTTTTAGCACAGCCTTAGTTATAATATTAGCAATCTAATCCTTTAGCAGCACGTATTTTACCGTTAGTAAGCCGCTTAAAGCGTACTTATAAAAGTAATGCTACTCAATATTAAAGTGCTTTAATTGCTTTTAAAACTCTAGCTTCTTAGTAAGACTAATTATAGAGTTATTGTTTATAAATAGCGTAATGTTTGCTATAAAGCTTAACTTTAAAAGAAACTGTTTAATCTACTTAGCCTATGTTATAGCAAAGTATACTATGCTATATTTAGCTTTATATATTAAAGTGCTAATAGTAGGTAGCTTTTTAGCGTACTATAAGACTAGGCTGCTAGCTATTTTAAATATAAAGCTATAAGTAAAGTAGTAATTAATAAGGTTATTTACTTAAAAGGCATTAACCTAGCTATTAATAATAACATATCCTTTAAACAGTACTTATTAGTAAGTAAAAATAATTATAAAGTCTTTTTTATTATAAATATACTATAGCACACATTTAATTAAATACGCGTAAGTCTTTTTAAAAGACTTTATAACTTTTAAATGCTAGTAAATAATAAAAGCATAGTTAGGTTTAGTTATTACCTTTAAGTAAATTAATTTTTACTAATCTATTAGTAGTGCTAGGTATTAGCTAAAGGCCAATCTTTATTAAGCGTTGCTATATTAGTAATTAGTATTACTACTAAATAAACGTTGTTTATACTCTTAGTTTAAAGTAAATTATAAAGATAAAACTTTTAAAAAAGGCCAATTTAAATGCCTTTTAGCATTATAGTAATACTAATTTAAACTCTTAATAGCTATTTAAGTATAGCTGTTAGCTTTATCTTTAATAGCTGCTATGTTTCTAGTTTGAACTTAGTTAGCGCCTTTATTTTACCTATATATAAAGCATTATTAATATAGGTTATAATAATAATTATTTTATTATAATAAGTTGCTAGGTTATTTAAAAGAGGTTATAAGCTAACCTTAGCTATTATCTTTCTTAACTTCTTTTACTACTAGTAACCTGCTGAAGTATCTAGCTTCTATAATCCTATTAGCAGTTAAATTATAAAAGCTAATTATAATTCTTATAATCCAAAATTTCTTATAAGCTTAAGCTAACTTTTTTTTAAATTTACTACTACTATTAATAATAGCTATTATAAGTAAGCTATAGTTAGCAATAACCTTTTCTTAAAAGAATTTTTAAATATTCTTAAAGTTTATAACAGTAATTACTACTACTTTAATATAGCTAGTAAAAGTATAGCAAGCTTTTACTAAGAAGGTCTTTCCTTTACTTATTATTATATACTAAATGTCTAAGTAAATCTTTTATAAAGGTATACTAAAGAGGTTTGAGCAATTCCTTTATTTGCTAAGCAATAAGTAGTCTATTTTATATAAGGTATGTATATAGTAATAGTAGCTTAAACGTTATTATATATTTATAACTATTAATATTAGTTTTTTAGCGTTTTATAAGTAGCTGCTAGACTATAGTATTTTTATATTAATTTTATATAAATCTTTAAGCTATTAATAACTTATATAAGAAAACTATCTAAGTATAAGCGCTTACGCTATAGCTTTTTATTATAAACTTAATAGTAGTAGCTTCTTTATAGTAAAGCTTAGCGTTATTTTCCTTTAATTAAAGATAAAAGAGTTAATGTAAAAAGGAATTTAGTAATCTATTAGTATTCTTTTAAAATGTCTAAAACGTTAAGAGTCTTATTTAGTTTTAGCAAAGGTATTATTTCTTTTTAAGATGCTTTTAAGGTAATAGTTTAAGGTAACTTTTAAGCTTTACTTCATAGTGCCTTTTAAGTTTTATTTTAGAATGCTATATTATTATATAACTAGTTATATAACTTAGTTTCTTAGTTATTATATAACTAGTTATATAACTTAGTTTCTTTAGTTATTAGCATTCGTTTTTTTAAGACTTTATATATATATAGTTATACATATATAAAGTTTTTAAGGTCCTTTTTAAACTTCTTTTCTTACTAGTCTTTTTTTATAAAAGGCTATTAAGAAAAAGCGTTAGCTATAGCGTTTTAAAGCTTATTAATATATTTTATTTTAAAGTTAAAGTTTTTAATTTAAGTAATCTATTAAACGATTAACGCTCTTAAGACCTTTAAAAGCTTTTTATTAATTTTGTCTTTAAAGACTATAGCGTTTATTTTAATAATAAAATGAATACTATAAAGATAGCTCTAAAGTTGTTTTAAGGCAAAAAGAAGTCTTTAACATTCTTTTTTTATAGTATTATAGGCCGCCTTTACTAGATCTTAAAGGCTATACTTATATTAGGATAGCCGCCTTTTTTTATTTAAAATTTGTAATAAAACTGCTTTTTATCTTATTAGGTTAGTATTAACTTAAAGACTAATAATACTAGCGCTTAAGTTATAAGAAATAGTAATAAGCAAGGGTGTAGTAGTAAAGGCTTTCTTAATCTTCTTAAAGGCTTCTTATTATATAAGTCTTTATTTATACTTAGTTCTTTTGCGTAAAAGCTTTATAAAAGGTGCTAAGATAATAGCTTAATAGCTAATTTAAATAGCGTATTAATTAGTTACTTTATTAAATTCTTAAATGTTTTTAGTATAAGTAAGAGTAAGCTACTTTAAGATCTTATTAACCTTAGTTATCTTAAGAAGATAAAATTCTTCTTTATAAAGGTACTTAACTACTATAGCAGACTTCTTATACTATTAAAATTTACTAATAATAATAATATATAACGCTGCCCTAGAAAGGGGACCGACGCAGGCTACGCGTAAGCCGTACGCAGTATGCGCACAGCGTATTAGATGCATATTGTAGACTAGAAGCGGTGCTTATAGCGTAGGCTGCGTAGCGCAGTCTGCGCATAGGCTATAGCACGTGCTAGCGCACAGGCTAAGTAGAAATAGGGTTGCGCCTGCCCTGCGCACTTAGTGCGCTAGAGGTGCGCCTACGATAAAGAGCGCCTTCCGCACTCCCTTAGAGTGTAGGAGGTAAGAATTAGCTATTAAATATACGGCTGCTTTCTCTTAT